TGGGGACTCACCTCCCTTATGGGGACAAAATGGAGGTCCCCATGAGGGGAATCATTAATTTTAGGGTGAAGACTTGGTTAGGGTTAGGCATGTGTTGGTTAAGGTTAGGATAAGTTTCCAGGAAATGCATGTAAATCAATGTAATGTCCCCTGAAGTGATGTATACATGGTGTGTGTGTGTGTGTGTGTGTGTGTGTGTATGTGTGTGTGTGTGTGTGTGTGTGTGTGTGTGTGTGTGTGTGTGTGTGTGTGTGTGTGTGTGTGTGTGTGTGTGTGTGTGTGTGTGTTCGAGACCATGAACCCCCCAGTTTGTCTCTAATTGGCCACTGGAGATGGGAGGCTGCATCCCATTGCCCGCACCATCACTCTCACCCTCTTTATGTCCATCCTCGCTGTCCCCTCTCCTCCACTCCACTCTTCTCCACTCCATCAGCACACACTAATCTGCACTCCCTCTTTTCATGTTCCCTCTAAAAAGCCCTAATGAGCTCCCAGAGGGCATGGATGACACCCCCAGCCTACCCCACCCTGCCCTGCCCCTGCTGCTGCTGCTACTGTTGCTGCATTAATGTGTAGTGGGCTTTTGTCCCATTGGTTCAGAACCAATAACTAATTGATAACATGACTTATTAATTAACAAGTGAGCAAAAGTTGTGAGTCAAAGCAAATTCCATGGCTTCATACCAAACATGAGTATGTTAAAGTGTTAGCATAAAGCCTGGTGTAAATATATTACTTAAGCTAAAGTGTTAGTATGGAGCCTGGTTAAAATATTTTTTTTGTGTGAGCTAAAGTGTTAGCATTGAGCGTGGTGTGAATAACTGTTGTGTGAGCTAAAGTGTTAGCATTAAGCCTGGTGTTAATATATTATGTGAGCTAAAGTGTTAGCATGAAGCCTGGTATTGATAACTGTTGTTTGAGCTAATTATGTCAGAGTTTTTGTTGCCGTCCGCGAGGAAAATAAATGGGGCTCAGAGCCTCAGAATATTGAAATCTGTATTTTTTTTAAATCTTTTTTTTCCTTCTAATTTGTTATTATTTGGTGCAGGCACAACACATACTACCAATAGAAATGCATTGCTTTTAAAATCGTTCTGTGTGACACGAAAAAAATGAGGAAATCGTGTTGGTGAACACAAATCAATAGATTAATGTTGTGACTATAACACGAAATCCTGTGAGACTGTGTTGAAATTAGTTAAAATAAAAAAATTAAAAAAAACATAATACTTATAATAAGACGTGTTGCTATACTCTGTTGCTAAAACATATCATAAAAAAATGATGATAGCTCCTATGCTAACTCCTCCTTGTATCCAATGCTTCCTGGTAATCCTTTGACCAACATTACTGTATGTGTTCTTTCTTTTGGTTTAGGTTTCAGTATGATTTACTTTATTGAAGCATTCAAATGTTGTCTCTGTGTATATCTCTGGTATAACTTAATGACATGAAAGGTCTTACCTGGTTTGAAGTGAGGCAGAGAATTAACACCAGGCCAGGTCTCCTCTGACGGGGTGCCGATGACCTGAAAAACACAGCAACAACAAGAGTCTTATAAGCAATGAAATATACTCATGTGTCCTACTTCAGATTTACCGAATAAGTTCTTAAATGATTAAACCCTAGATACCAACTGCTTTGTGAAAATATTTATTAGGATAGTTGCTTCCACATAACAACTTGATCTTACAAAAAATATATTAATGACCATTCAATAACAAATTTGTGATATATTTTTGTTGAATATAAATCACAAAATTGCACTTTGCCATTACAAAAAAAGACACATTCGTACTGTGAGTCATTAAAGTGAGGGAAAGCGACACTTCAACATGACTGTCTGTTTGAGAAAGGTGGACTTGCAGCACAAAGGCATCCCATAGCTTGTGCAATCATCCTGATTAGTAACTTTAATGGAAAGACTGGCTGAGTTCTCACGCACACAGCCCGCTTTATGATGACAAAAGCCAGAGCAGCGGACATGCCTTCCACATGATCCATCACAGCTAAGCAGCATAATAGCTTCCAGATTGCCCCGCTGTCTCTGACCCGCAGCACACTCCTACAGGAGAGTCAATCAGGGCTCTGCTATAGTGAGCTGCACGCACGCACGCACGCACGCACGTGCACACACACACGTACACACACACGTGCACACACACACACACACACACACACACACACACACACACACACACACACACACACACACACACACACACACACACACACACACACACACACACACACACACACACACACAGAGTGCACCACAAGGTATTAACTGTACATGACCTTTCATTGTCCCATGCCCCCTCCCTCACTCTGACATCCTCGGATCAGGTCTGCAAATCCCATCTGTTTGAATAATAATCACTTTTAAACAGCGGTCATGTGATTTTTTTTTTACTGTGTTTTACTTCATGTTCACTTTCTGCTTTCTAGTTTCTTTTTCATTCTCTTTATGAATTCAAGCTGTTTTATTCATGGTGTCTATATCTCTGTGAACGCATTGTATAACTGAAAGTGCCTTATCATTTAAGTTTATTATAACAATTACCCTTAGCTATAAGCTATATAAGACTTTACCATTCATAATAGTTATTACCACCATGAGCTTCATGCTACTAAGCATACACATTTTTTGTGTGAAGCCATGTCATTTTTTGTCACCACTTTTGCTAACTTGTTAATTAATAAGTAATGTTATTAATGAGTTATTGGTTTTGAATCGCGGGTACAAGCGGCCGAGATGGGTTTTCTCCGCAGGGTGGCTGGTGTCTCCCTTAGG